CGCCCCTCGTAGTTACCTGGTTAGTAACATGCCCTCTGTGGGTGTCTGTGTAGCTAATTCAATTCTTGGCTTGCCTATTGTGTTTCCTAGAATGACATGAATACACTGTTTGCACTGAATCCTTATCTCAGGCTTGCTTCTGGGGAACTACTGTGACCAACTAGTCCCGATTTTCCTGGGATTGTCCCAGTTTTAAAACTCTATGTCTCACATCCTGGGAGCACCCACTCCTCTATCCCAGGCAACTGGGAGACAGCTGGTCACCCGAGGGAACCCAAACCTAGACAGATTAACCACACTGAGGCAAACAGATCACTGAACCACTCGTTTGAAAGCCAAGTATTGGCTTTGAGAACAAAAGAGCGGACACGTTATAGTTTTGTCACATCATCAGGTTTGACAGTTTTTATGAGCTAAAAGCCTGTAAGAGGACAGTAGCTACCATTTACAAAAAAGCCATTCCTTTGAGAACAGAAACACTCATACAGCCCCAGGGTTTGATTTGCTAATTATTTGTGGACTTTAGATGGCTGATGTCCAGGATTCCACGATGGCTGCAGAAGTGGCCACTGGGCAGAAAGGTGACATGTATTCCAAAACCAAGAAGTGCCACAGGCACCATGGGGACATTATGGGTGAGCAGGCAAAGGAGTCGGGTAGCATGTTGTAGGCACTTGAGGCTCTGAGGGGGACAAGCACCGGCCATGCCACTTGAGCCAAAGCCACCTGGGCAAACAGTGAAACTCTACGGCGGGCGTGCCCACACTCAACCACATTGAGACGAGGCGCTTTGCCTTGGGAAGCAGCTGTAAGCTCGAGACAGCTGGCTCCAAGCCAAGGAGATGTGCAGCATGAACAGGAGAAATATCACTTTGTCAGGTCGCCTGGGAGGCAGTGGTATTGAGAGGCTGGGGGGCCGGGGGGGGGGACATGTGGGTCAGGGAGCTCCATAGCGGGGGCTGGAGGCCTGGCCGGGAGATGCTGCCAAGCTCCTGACCTTAGGATGGAGCTCTGCGGATCAGATTATCCAGCTGCAAAATGCCACACACGCCTCTGCCCTGGTTATTTTTACACTGGCACCGCGGAGCCTGCTATAGCAGAGGAATGTGCCCATTTTGGTTGTTGATTTCTCTGGTCCCTGCTAAACTGATAGGGGGAAAAAGATCTGATTACCATGGCGGTGAGCACACAGCCTGTTTCCTGGGGTCACAGAGCCCTTCTCTTCCCTTTCCCAGGACACTAAGGATGCAGAATGCGTTTGTGTCTGGTGTCCATCCACATATGTTCCAATATGCAAGTAGTGAGAGGCAGCATTTGGACTCTGCAACGACAGGTGGTGGCGTGTCACACAAGTTTCAGCCCAGGCAGGTGAGCAGGGGATGCCCAATCCCCCGGGGCAGGCTGCATACAGATCGGGGAGACCTTCCAAATAAGAGTGGGGACCGTTCAAAACTTAGAAGAAACTTCCAGAGACCTTTCTGACAGCTGGAAAGGAAGAAGAGGAACCCCTGCTTTCTCAAACATCTGCGAAGCAGGTGAAAACCCACCAGCAGTTAGTCTTGGAACCAGCTACTCCATTCATCAGTCACAGTGGTGGAGGACAGCAGATGCCACTGGTTTGGCCCACAGGCAAGGGACAGGTTGGGAATATACAAGCGCTGACCAGAAATTGATGCTTATTTACAAGTCCAGTGTAAGTCTGCTTACATGTGGGGCCCAGTTTTCCTGGGATCCGGAGTTGGTCTTCTCGGTGGAAGGGGACTCAGAGAGAGGGCTCTGCCTCTGTGTGTAGCAGCAGGTTGGACCCTTGAGGGACTTTGCTGCAGGGACTCCCGCTGCTCCGCTGGACAAGGAGGCCACAGCACGAGCTCCTGCCAGAGCCCCATGCTGCTTCCACTCTGGCCGCAGGGGTCAGCTTGACTCACACAACAGTGAATGTCAGGAAGTTCAGGGCAGACTTCAATGCCAGCGGTGCCTGAGGCCACACCCACAGATGGCAGGACCCCAGGGTGGGGGTGTGGCCAGTCAAGACACACCCCGCCTGGAGCACGAGGAAATTCACAAAGCAGACATCCTTCAAATACTTCTCACCAAGCTCCAAAAAGCTCCAAAGAACACCACCTAATATGTTTACTACACCACCCCAGCGTGCCTGGCATCCAGTAGGCTCTCAATAAAGGCTTTTTGAGTGTCAGTGCCCGGAGAACCCGAAGGGAGATCTAGACCAGCATTTCCCCAACTGTATAATCTGGGGAGAAACACCTTCTGAGTCACCTCGTGGAGACTGGCAACACTCATTTACATATTCATGGGACCGAGTAGCCCTGACTTCAAGAAATCTGTTTTCCTAGTGTTTCCCCAACATACTTGCCCGTGGGGTAGTTTCTCATGAATTGCTAATTCACCAAGAAACGTCAACCAAGAAGTAGTGCTGGACATGCGGATCTAGCGTAACCTCATCATTCTACCAAAGATGAAATGGGGCCCAGAGAAAGCCAGCAATTTGCCAGAAGTCACACAGCACACTAGTGGTGGAGTTTAGACCAACACTTAAATTCCCCAGCTCTCAGTTCAGTGCTCTTTCTACTAAAGGCCAGGTGTTGTTGGACAGTGCCGTTAAGCATTTGTACCCTCCTGATTCTTCAGCCAGGCAGGGCATCAGTGTCCTTCTGCGTGACCTAAAAAGCAAAGGTCCAGTTAACAAAGAATGTGGATTCATCCAAATCAATCCCGAGTGCAGGGGCAACTCTTCACCTACTTGAGAATCTTTGGAGCCAACCACTTGAGCTTCCATGCATGTGCTTATGACCTAAGGTTCTTCTCTCTTCCGTAAAGCCGGTTCCTTTGGACCTCGGCTTGGCAGTCCTGGAGGCGGATTCCTGAGACTGCATGTCCTTTCAGTATCACTGAAGTTCTTTAAGAATGTATCTCTTATCCAGATGTCCCCCAAAGCCCTTCAGTTATCTGAAATCAAGGACTTGTCCCTCTGCACCCTGGGGCTCTGGGCAGCACGGAGGTCAGCAGTTGCTTGTGCATCCAGGTTGTCCAGGGCTCCAGCAGCTGCAGCTGGGGCAGGGTCTGAGAAGCGGGGGTGAGCCCACCGTCCTGCTGGGCTTCTCAGTTCCTCCTTCCAGGGGTTCTTGCAGCACTGGTTTTACACTGGGCAGGTAGCAGACCCCCTTGAGCCCTGGTCATTGTCCACACTGAGCTTGGAGACCCAGAATCAGGCTAAGCAGGAGGCTGGCCAGCCCAGTCCAGCCTGGTCATGGTAGAAGGGGAAAGAGGCCCAGAAAGCACATGGGACTTGTTCAAGGTCACACAGACAATCAGAGCAAGTTCATGGTCACTAAGAGGGAAACACATCAGAGGCAGAGAATCTGGGAAGATCAGAGCAGGGGGACCTCCCCCCCACCTCCAGCTCCAGGGCCCCCAGAGAGGAGAAGCCCCTGGCCCACACTAGTGCCAGGCGTGCCAGCTCTCACCCCAACAATATTTCCATTCATGGTGGGCCCAGAAAGGGCTACAACTACCTCCTCCCCCTGAAGCTGGGCTGCTGGCTGCAGTTTCAGGAGTGTCATGTTGCGGGGCAGGGAGGCGTGCAGGGAGGTGACAAGGTCTGGAGCAAGGGACTCCTCCTTCTTGGTGTGGGTGACTGCCTGGCTGGGTTCCTCCCCAAAAGGGGGATCTGAAACAGAACAGCCAGCCAAGCAGCTGACAGGATTTGCTATTACGTCTCCAGCCCCTTCCCCTCCTGGCTTTTGGGGGGGAGCCTCGGAAGGGCTGGGGAGGTAAAAGTCCCTCCCCGGAGAGTCTGCAGCACAGCGGGAGGGCAGGGCAGGGCTCTGAACTGAGGCCCAGCCGTGTGCGGGCAGGGTACCGCGCCCTGGCGGCGCTGCCTTTCTCCATGCACGATGGGTGTCCTGCTGGGGCCCCTCTCTTCCTTTCACTCCCTGCTGAAGACTGAGCATTTCTTGAGTCTTCCTGAGGCTTCAGAGCCCGCAGCTCCTCCACAGGTGCGTGTGCTCACAGGGCCCTCCAGATCTCCCTGGAGGGGGACATCTGGGGTAGCTTGGCGCCAGGGCCCTGGGGCCAGAAAGGACCGCTCGATGAGAAGAGGTTAAAGCCCTGGAGACGGGGGTGGACGGGGGTGTGGATTCAGTCTGGGGTCCCAAGCTGGTGGGCTTCCTTGGTGAGGTCCAGACCCACCTCCAGGGGAATCCGCAGGGCAGAGGAGACTGAGACCCAGCCCTGAGGGAATCTGAGGCTGCGACACACCTGTCCCCACATGGTGGGCCTGAGAGAAGGAAGGCCCTAGGGGCTCTCTGCTTTGAAGCGTCAAGAGTCTTTCATTTCACTGAAGCTGCCATCCCCAAAGGCACTGCAGCCAAGCACAGTTCTCTGTTGCAAAGAAGGCCCCTGTCTCTCAAAGTGTGCTGTGGCAGGAGAGGGCGTCCGCTCTCCCAGAATGCAGCTGGCACCGGGCGCCTCTCTAGCCCCTCGACACAAGTGGATAGAGCTTGCGTTATGTAACTCCTGCAAGCGCGTGAATTATTAACGGTGTCCTCTGCTTTCTCCACTGACTTCTGTGACCATGTCTCTTCTTTGGGGACTATTTTTGCACAGACTGCAGCTTAATTCTAACACCTCGGCTTGCAGGTGCCTCCCTTCAGCCTACCCACCACCTCTTCTTAGACAGGAAGTCACAAAAAGTCTACAGGCCAATACTAAAATATACGAAGGGTTTCCAAGCCAAAATAAAAGTTCCCCCTGGTGATTCTTGTAAAGTGCAGAGGAGAAAGGTTCTCCAGGCAGTTTGTAAGTGGGATTCAGGGTCCTGCACGGTCACTGGGGAGGCAAGTGCCTCCCTCACAGTGCAGCTGGCAGAGGTGGTCTCCCCGGGCCTAGAGGCGAGCTCGCAGGTCTGGTTACTTTCAACCTTTGGGTCCGCTCAACCACCCGTTATTTGAGGGGGCACTGTCCATGTGATCTTGCTCCAGGGAGAACTCAGGCTTAAATTGCACCTCTCTCCTGATCCCCCAGTGGCAGTAAACCCCACGGCTGCCCAGATGTCTGAGCAGAAAGGAAACTGAACGTTCTAGAGGCTGAGTGCAACCTCACCCACGTACTTTACAGGTGGGGAAACTGAGACCCAGAGAGAGGCAGGGGCTGGCCTAAAATTGCACAGTTCGGTGATAGCAAAAAGTTGGCATTGAACTCAGGCCTCCTGATTGCCAATCTAGGGCTCTTTCTAACAACCGATATATTGGCTACAGTTTCAAGACCCCTCACAGACCCCCAGGGCCCCCTCCTTTTTCCCGCTGCCCCAGCCCCTCTCACCACCCCCCACTACACATAATTCGGGTTATAGCAGAGCATGTTGAACTCCAAGTTCTCGTCCCAGTGCCGCAGAAGCACGAACAGCTGGCGGGCGGCAGCCTTGAGCATGCCCCGCGTGTGGCCCTCGGGCACCTCCTGCTGCTCCAGCCACGAGCTGGCCTTGGCGGCCACCAGCTCCCATTCGACGAAGTAGGAGGCTGAGCTGTGCTCCAGCCACGCCAGCGCCACCACCGTGGCCCACAGCTTCCCCGTGTGCTCGATCACAGCCCTGGGCTCCCAGCCTGGCTTGCCCTCAGCCAGAGGCTCCAGGGAGATGCTGTCACAGGACAGGTGCCGAGGTGAGGGGCTGGTGCCCATCTGGGGGCTCGGGGGCTGGCGGGTGGTGAGGGACACTCGGTGGCAGGTGAAGGGTGAGGTCCACTTGAGCTTCTCCATGGGGATGTGGATGGCCTTGCAGAAGGCTTGGTTGAGCAGGAAGGCTCCAGAGGCCAGCTGTAGAGACACCTGTGTGTGGGGGAGCTCCTCAGTGGGCCTCAAACATTTAGCCCATGGAGCCCCAGGCCACGCCCAAGCAGGGTGCACACAGCCTACCTGTTCATCTCCCCCAGCTCGCCCTGCCAACCTGGGGGATTTGCGGGCGACCCAGCCCAGCTTAGCACCGCCATGCTTTATCCCACTACGACTTCCAGCTGATGAGTTTCCAAGCCCAGCTCAACACCTTCACTCCAAACCTGCCTCTTATCCTGGGCAAGTGGGCCCAGCTCAGCCACTGGGACCGTCTACCGCCACCCGTAGTTTCTGGGCAGCTTACCTCCCTCTTCCTCCCTCTGCACCAGTTTCCAAGTCCCAACTTTCTAAACAGTTCTGCAGTCCACCATCTGCCACCACATGTGGTCCCTGCTCTACTTTTCTCCCCCTCCCTCCCCCCACACCCGCCCCATCCCCGCTCCATCTTTTTCTGCATCCTGGATGGTCTTTGTAAGGCATAGGCCATGATACTTTTTGGAGGCCATCAGTTCAGTGGTTTCAGTTTTCTCCTAGCGTAAATCCAAGCTATGATTTCCAAGGCACTGATTTATCTTTGACTCTCGCCTCTCAAGCTCCCAAGCTTTCTCCTCTGTAGGCTGTCGGCCATTAACTCTTTATTCTTCAGTTCTTGACTGAGCCATCGTATTCCTTAAGAAGTCATGCTTCATTCCTCCTTGACCTCAAGTCTGGAGTAAGTGTCTCCCCCCCTTTTCCATGCTTCCCTCTCCCAAACCCGACCTCCCCTGTCACAGAGCCCAACAATCAGAATTGCCTGGTTCCTTGTCGGTGTCCCCACTAGACAGTGTGGTGAGTTTATATGTTCACCTAGTTCAAGGTTGTTTCCCAGAGTCTAGCGCTGGGCCTGGCTCATCAAATACATGTTGAGTGAATACGTGCATCCTACTTGGTCACCTGGGATATTTGAAAATTCAAAGTGACACCATGTACTTGGGTATGAAGGGACTGGAGCTGGGCAGAGAAGCTCAAAACGTGTCCCTCCTTCTAGCACCTTCTAAGCCCCAACCCTGCTGGGCTCCAGATATGGCAGAGCCAGGCTCGCTTGGTCCTCAGTTCAGACTCACTCGCTCCCGACCTGGGCTTCTGACCCTGCCCCGCAGGCTGGGGTGTCTGCAGGGCCACTTGCTAAACATGGTGCATGTCCCAAGGATGTTCATTTTACTCGCTTGTGAGTCATTTCAAGGCTTATCTTTATGTATTGAAAAACAGACAGACATAGGTGGTGGAGTAGAATGTAAAATTCCCATGAATTTTTAAAGCGAAGATGGCAGATTGCAGAGAATTTTTGTGGCGCTGGTTTCTAGCAACATTTCTAGACCCTGGGTGGGGGACTCGGGCAAACTCCTCCTGCCTTGCTGGCTACGTGGGTGAGAAGGTCTAGGTCCTCTGCTCTTTGTGGATAGGGTAGGGCGGGCAGCCCCTGTGCTGAGTGTCAGGGTTGGGGTCTGAGGTCTGGGGCACTCACCAGTGGGATGTAGTCGAAGCTCTGGCTCCCCGGGACTGACTCTGGAACCTTGGTCAGTGGCTTGCCCAGGAAGCCCCTGGCTGCACGTGTCAGCAGCCTGGACTTGTTGAGGTTCAGCCTGTGTGGACAGAGCCAGGGAAGAGTGGGCACAGCTTCCCTGGTAGTGTCCCTGGTCACCCCCTCTCCCCCTCCCCTCAGCCCACTCAACAGCCTCAGAAATTCAGGGCCAGAAAGCATCTGACAGATGGCTTCCTTCCATCTCCTCATTTGACAGCTGGGGAAACTGAGGTCCGGGGGGGTGCACTTCCCCCCGATCACTCAGTGAGTTAGCAGCAGCCTGGGTGAAGAGCACGGCAGAGTTCTTTTTAGGACTCTCTTTTTTGGGGGAGAGGTGGGTAGTTAATTTTACTTACTTATTTTTAGAGGAGGTGTGAACCCAGGAAAATGCTCTTTTGAGAGCATATTCTTATTCAGCCCAGTGGTCAGAGAGGCTGATGCTCACCCCCCAGGGGTACGTGTATTTGCAAACAAACCGTGGGCCTGGGGGAGAGGAAGCACATAGCAGAGGGGTTGGCAGTGGGATCTTGAAGGCAGTGATAGCTCTGGGCCAGGGGCGCTTTTTCAGATTGTTCATGACAGGCTGGGCCTGCCTTTGGCCTTCTAAGCCAGGAACAGTGCTGGGAAAATGGGGGCGGTATAGAGTAGAACCCCAGTGGAAATCCCACATACCTGGATCCAAAGAGAGTCTCTGAGGCCTTCAAGGAAGAAAAGGTATTGGTGGCCAGACTGCGCAGGGGACCTGGAGAGCCACAGAATGACAGTTAGGGCCTGACAGATGACCCTGTCTAACTGCTCACTGCCCAGAGAGGGAAACAGAGGCCCAGAGAGGGGCAGGAGCTAGCCTACATCCTTAGGGATCCGAGCTAGTGATTAGGCTGCAGGGATGTTTGGGATCCAGTTGGTATGGGGAGGGATGAAAATATGTGGGTCTGAGTGTAAAGAACCAGGTCTCTGAGTTCCCTTGGCTGGCAGCCCCTGGCATCTCCTGGAGGGTTACCTGTGGGGATAGTGACAGCTTTACATCCTCCCTCATCCCCAAGTAGGGACAGTGAGTTTCCTCAGTGGGCACATTGCTGGAGGACCCTAGGCAGAGTGAGGTGGTAGAGTGGGGATAGGAACTGGGAATTGACAGGCCTGACTTCAGGCCTAGCTCTGTCACCCACTTGCTGTGTGACCTTGGGCAAGTCACTTCATCTCTCTGAGTCCCAGTTTCCTCATCTTTAAAGTGAGGATACTCTGATTTACGTTGCGTGGGGCTGTTTTGAGGAATAAATGAACCACTGAGGACTTTGTTGGGTAAAGACCCTCCCTTGGCCCAATGATCAATCACTATTTCAATGAAAGAGAGAACTGGCAGGCTGCGCCCTCACCTTCAGAAGGCGCGTACTTCTCGTGGCCTGGAGATGCGGTCTCGGTCTCGCTGAAGGGCGCCGTAGGGCTTTCCTCCACATCTACAGCAGAGGAAGCCAGTGAGGCCTGAGTTCCCCTCTCCCTCCCCGTCTCTCCTTCATTCTCTCAAGGAGAGGGCTGGTCCAAATTCACTGTACCTGGGGATGTGCTGGCAGAGCAAGTTCAGGGGTCCCACCTGTGCTTGGAGGGGACTTCATCTCCCAAGGATACCACTGCTGCTCCACCACAAGAGTTGAACATGCCTGGGTGCAAATCCCAACTCTCCCAAAGACTAGCTGTGTGACCCTGGGAAAATTACTTCCTTTATAGGTTTCAATTGCAAGGATGTTGTAAGGATTAAATGAGATAATACACAGACAGTGTTTAGTGCCTGGCCCACGGTAAGTGCTCAATAAAGTCCTGAGCTATAGACGCAGCAGGGAAGCAGGGACAGGTCAGGGGCCTGAGGCTGGGGGTTGGGGCTTAGGGGAGAGATGGGTCCATGCCAGCTTTCCAGAAGACACCACAACATGGCACTGACCTGTCAGAGGGCTCTAAGCCTCAGTCTCCCCATCTGTAAACTTGGGGTAATAACTGCATATTGTTTGTTCAAAATGTGGAATCGGGTTATTATTCACACGATTATTATTTCCAGGGCTAGAGAGGGATGGGCAATTGTTCTAAAGGAGTGATCCAAATTACGGAACAAGCTCCATGTACAGATGTGTTCCACACAGACTCTGTCTTCCCTCTGAGCCCCTTAGTAGCTCTGTGTGGGCAAGAAGCTCTGTTTTACTGCTGGGTGCTCGGGGACAGCACAAGAGTGAACTAGTGACTGAAAGACTGGGGACCAGCAGGCAAAGAGCATGGTGGTTAATGCACCTCCTGGGCTCTGGAGCCAGACATGGCTAGTTCAAGTCTTGGCTCTACTGTGCATCAGCGGTGTGATCTTGAGTAAGTCACGTAACTTCCTGGAGCCTGTTTCCTCATCTCTTAATGCGGAGAAGAAATGAAACTCTCAGGGAGTGTTAGCCAATGTCATGCTTGCGGAGGGAAAGGGCTTGGGATAGACTCAGAGTTTAGAAGTCATACACACTGGCTGTGAATCAGAGGACAATTGGAAAGAAAGGATTTGTGATTTTGATGGAAGCCATCAGCCATCAAGGGCTGAGCTACGGAGAAAGGAAAGGGTAGACCAGAAGTCTTCTCTAGACTGGGAGCCCCAGCTTGGCTCAGGGGTAGAGCAGGTTCCCCTTGGTTTTGGAGGCTCTGAGGGACCAAGGAGTTGGTAGAATTTTTTAATTTGGAGGAGATCCTCATCTGCATCTCTACCCCTTCACACACTGTTCCTTTTTTTAACTCCTCAATGTCTGTGAACACTTTCTAATCCTTCAGATAAAAGGTTGTTAAGATCTGGATGTCAGGGTTGGTGGCCAAGTGGGACCTCTGATGTCTTTCCCATGCACGGAAGAAGGCAAGAGACCCTCACTGTACGTGTGAGGGCACGTAGGGGTTAGGACTAATGCAGCAGTTAGGCTGTCTTTAGTGGGACGAAAAGATGTGCAGACACCCCCGGACACAGAGGGCTAAAGCTATCCTGTGAATTAGTGCAAAGTCACCAAACGTCAGATCACGGATCTTCAAGGACCCAAGCTGCAGGCACAATGAAATCAGATGAAGGTAAAAAGAAAACTTTTGGGAATCCTGGGAGAAGCAGATGGTGGGACCCAAGCAGATGAACTGCCTCTTCGCGCTTTGCTTTGCCCCTTGTTTGTTAGGTTTCCTGGCATTCGGTGCCTGGGGGACTCCGAGGCTGGAGGCAGGCAACAGCCCCTGAGGTTGGTGGACTTTGAGAGGGGAAGCTTGGGCGTGTGCGCAGGGAGGCTCCCAGCCACTCTCCCAGCAAAGCTGTGCTAATGGTGGCATGACTGGGCCAGGCTGAGCCCCCATCTCAGGCCTTGGAGGGTCCAGGAGGCCTGGCCTTGCTCTGGCCCTGTAAGGCCCCGAGTGCAGACTCAGAGAGAGGCCTCTGGGATCTCGGACATGAGGTTGTGGTGACCCAGGGGCCCAGGCTTCAGAACATACCAGAGGTGGCTCTTACTTAGATTCTGAAATTTGCCATCTCCTGCTGCCGAGTCTTCCCTGAGCGTTGTCTGGGACCATCTGAAACCGGCAGAAGTGCCCCTCCACTGCCGGGTCAGGACCCGAGAGCTGGCCATCTGCAATGCAGCACCTTCAGGAGGACAAGGAGAAGGGGACAGGTGGGGACAACAGTGCCCATCTTTTGCCTCTTCCCCAAGGCTGGCAGGGATGCTTCTGGATTCAGTCTGTCCATTACCCAAAGGCGGGAAGACATTGTGGAGGGTAAGACCATGAGTTGTGAAGCTGGAATAATCTGGATTTGAACTCCAGCCCCATCTCTTACTAGCTGGATGGGGTGCTGACCATTCTGAGCCTCAGTTTCCTTATCTGGAAAATGGGGGTAATTATACTTACCTTGCCAGGTAAATACTATTGCTGAGATAATGTTCAGAAACCAGCAATGTTTGCTAGTTAGTTAAAAAGCTGTTTTTTTTCAGGAACACTCCTTCTCCCTTCTCTCCCAGTTTGCTGTCTCAGAAACTGAGGTCCCAGCCCCACTTGCCACAGGCAGGCCCCTCAAGTCCTAGGGTATCACCAACAGTGGATGGATGGAAGGAAGATGAAGTTATAGCACCTTAAAGTGTATTTTGGGAATCCCCACTCTCGGAGAACACTAGTTTGTAAGTTGTCCCTTAAAAAGTGAAGAGTTCTTTTGGAAAATAAGTTTTGAATAAGCTGCGTCCTGTAGTCCATTCTCTGAGCCCCCTGATGAATAGTAACCCCCTAAAGGCTCTGAGAAGTTCTGCAGCAAAGAAAGCTTTGGAACTTTATCTAATCCAGTGGTTGGGAATGTTTTTTCCTAATCTGGTATTTCCTGTTTTTGTGCTGAATGGCCATTAACAGGACACAGAACTAGGGTTCTAGTTTCCTGGAACACACTTTGGCATGTGCTAATCCAGATCTTAGTGGGTGGTGGGATTTGGGTTAAGATATGGGCCTGGTCCCTAAAACTCCCAGACTGTAGCTATGGAAGCAAAGAAAATGGTCAGAGATGGGCGGGCGGGAGAGACATTGGGGATTACCATTTGGGATGACAATGCCCAGTGGCACGAGAGTCCGGGCCACTGGCCAAAACTTGAAACCAGAGGAATTGAGGCAGAGAGGGAGGGTCGTTGAATATTTTGGTACCACGGATTAAAAAAAGGGGGCAGGCAAGAGGGATAAGGAAAGGCACATTTTGTTTCCAAACACAATTCTTAACAGGAAGTCTGCTTTAAAAAGAAAAAAAAAGCTGATGCAAAGGACAGAAAATGTAATTCAGGAAAGAAAAAGTACAGATGGTTCATAAACATATGAAAATGTTTCAACAAAGAAACTACAGAAATTCTCCAAAGAGAGATTCTTTCCTCCCCTATCAGATGGGTAGGTTTAGAAAGATAACCAATTTTCCGTGTGGATGAGAGTGGCCATCAGGATAAATAACTTTTGGGGGCAGGACCAGTTTGAGAACATACATCATAATAGTTTAAAACCAGGAAACCCTTTGATATGCAATTTGAGTTCTAAATGTCGTTTAACCCTGAGGAGATAACCAGACAGGTGCACAAAGATGTTCTTTGCAGCAGAATTTACGGTAATCAAAAGGGGGGATAAACAGAAGGTCTAATAGTCGGGCGCTGGTTAAATAGGTTCCGATAAACCTTTAAGAGGCAGCGAAGAGGAGTGGAAGAGAGCATAGACTCTGGAACCAGACCACTGGGATTCCAAGCCTGGCTCTGCCCCTCTTGGTTATGTGACCATGGACTAGGTACTTAACCCCCTCTGCCTCTGCTTCCCCACCTGTAAAATGGGGGTAATAGTATCTTCTTTCCAGAGCTGTTTTGAGGGTTAAATGATTTAATATATATAAAGGGCCTTGGAACACCGTCTAATTGGCTGTTTGATGATAATTGCTCCCTGCAGTGGGATACTTGTTGCTATTAAAAAGAAAAGATGGAAAGATATTTTCCATACCCATAGTTTGTAAGATATAGCACACATTGGTATGATCCAAGTCATGCAAAATGATCTGCCTTTTAGATTCTAAGTATAAGTGATGTCATTTGATCTCTGTCAAACAACAAGGTCCCTGTATAGCACAGGGAACTATATTCAATAGCTTGTAATGACCTATAATGAAAAAGAATATGAAAATAGTGTTCAATTTAAAAATTTTGTCTTTTGATTTCTCTACATACAGATATCCCTAGAGAGAAGTCTTGCAAGGATGGTCACACCAAGGAGGTACTTAGCACTCTTTCTCGATGACTGTCAGTTCCAGTCATTTTTATTTATGTCTTTCTGTATTTTAGAATTTTCTAGAGTGAGCAGACACCAACTGGAAAAATATTCATTTAGTGGGCAAAAGGGAACAGGATGGTTTTGCAGCCCTCTGCAGAGCCCCTCACCCTCTGGCGGCCAAACCATCTTCTGGGGGCCTTTCAGCTTCTAGGACCTTCCCTGCACCCCTCCCTGCAGGCCTATGCTCCTTTGTATCCCAGTCTCCCTCCTCCGGCCCACTTGGGGGCTGCTTGGCCCTCAGAGGCGCCCTGGCCGTACACCTGCCTTACCGGAGTTGGGGTAGCTCACCACGGTGGGCAGGTAACGGCTCTTGCTTATATCCACAGGCACAAAGGCTGTGTACTTGCTGATAACATTGCAGGCCTTGCTGGTGTGCACGGCGTTCACCTGGTAGCGGCGGCCGGACCCTGCAGAGGGAGAAGCCGGGGTCACTGTGTGGACTTGGAAAGCCCTCCCTAACATGGAAGCTCTGGAAGCTAAAGGGAGGGCTAGATCAGTGGTCCCATCTTTGAAATTAAATAAGCCCTTAAAAGGAAGGGGTTACCAACTTGCCATTAAGGACATTAAAAAAAAAAACCCTCAAGATTATTCAAACCTTCACCATCATTTCATAAAATAAGGACATTTTAATATGAAAGAGGTAAGATAGCTAAGAATAAAAACAACAGTAACTTTCTTTAAATAACTTCAGTGTTATTTAAAAAAAAGCCCAAATCTCTATGTTTTCTGTATTCTCTATTTTCATTTTGCAGCTGTCTGATGAGAATCTTGCTGGAGGATTTCACAGGTCCCCTAGCTGCATGGGGACCATTGGTCTGGCCCATTGGGACAATCTTGCAGAAAAGATAGAAAGCCAGAGACGGACAGTGGCGAGCACAAGGTCACACAGCAAGTTAGGAATGGACCTGAGATCAGGAGTGAGGAAGATCTGACTCTGAAGCCCAGGCTGGCTCCACCGAACAGGTGAGCAGTGCCTGGCTTGCTGCCGCCAAGGGCTGCATGAGGTGCCAAGGACATGAAGGATGGACAAACGTCTTACAAACTGTAAGGTGAAGTGCTCATGGGAAGAAAAAAATAACATATATAAAATACAAAAAATGTGAAGTATAAACAATAAAATGTTATAATATAAATAAAGCATAAACTATAGCAGATAATAGACATATTCTGTTTGTATCTCTATCTGTTCTCCAAGTGTGCTCCATCAAGTTCCCAGGTATCACTTTCTTAGGAAAGTGTGCCCCAATTTCTGAGCTAAATTAGCCTCCCTACCATCCCTGTTATACAATTTCTCGAATCCTTGTGTTTTCTCTTAATAGCCCTTAGGACAAATGCACTCAATTAATTGTGTGTATAGTTATTTGACTAATGTCAGCTGGCTTCCTTGCTAGTTCATGTCAAGCACTCACAAGTAAGGACAGGGATGGTGGTGGCCCCTGCACTGGTGAGCCGAGAGTCTGGCCCCCAGCTAATCTGCACTCAATAAATGGTGTTGATGGGTGACTGAGAGGTCAGATTAGATGTAGGGGGTTTTGTGGGAAGGCAGATGTGGTCCCAGAGGAGCAAGGCAGGTGGAATAGGGTGGTCCTCAAAGTTCTGTCCGCGAAGCCCTACAGCCCTGGAAAGGGAGGAGTGAGGGACCTGGAGCAGAGGGGAAGGAGTGAGGAGTGAGGAAGACAGATCACAGGGTGAGTGGAGGAGCCCAGGGCTGGGAGGAGTGAGGCTCCTGGAGGTAGGGGGATGGGGGCAGATCAAGCAGGGGGTGGAGCCCTGGGCTCTGTGTGTGTGTGTGTGTGTTGGGGGGCAGTTGGGGGTCAAAAGAAGCACGGGAGGCAGAGATGGGGGACGGCAGGTGGAGTGTTGGGCGGTGGCAGGGCTGTAGGGAGAAACTGGGTTGAAGCCAAGGGAGGTGGAGCCACGAGGTCCTTGGGGGCGGAGAAGGGGTGGGGCGTGGGGGCGGGGCTATGAGAAGGGGGCGGGCCCACGGCTCGGCGCTCACCTTGCTCGATCTCGTCCTCTCGCTCCGCCAGCTGCTCAAAGTCGCGGATGATGGCGCGGGCCGCCAGGTGGTGGAAGGTCTCGCTCCACAGGTCGGCCTCGCGCGCGCCGCCCCTCTCGGGCCCCGGAGGCCTCAGCTCGAAGCTCACCTCCCACTGCAAACGCTGGCTGTCGCGCAGGCCCTTGACCACGGCCTTGCCCAGCACAGGGCCTGGGGTGGCAGGCCTGCTGGAACTGGCCTGCTCCTCGGACTCAGCCAGGGGCTCCCAGTCCGAGGACGTCTCCGTCTCGAAGGCGGAGGGATGATGGGACGGCTCTATGGGTGGAGGGACGAGCGACTGTGATCTGAGCTTCAGGACAGAGGGCCCAACCCCAGGGGACATCATCCTTCCCCAGGACGCAGACACCGCGAAACAAGTACAGCCCCCCACCCCCAGGGAACACACGACTCTTTCCTTCGGAGAGCAGGCGTGGCATGGGCTTGTCCCCAGGAGTGGGGCAGACCTGCCTCCCAGGAAGCTGGTATCTGAGGGGGCCAGATAGGGTAGGGTAGGGACACTCTGCAGGGAGGACATCTGGGAGCCTCACAGGCAGCCCAAGGGCCACGTTGATTGAGAAAGAAGGGTTGGTGAGGTTCTCTGGGAGCCATGGGCCATAGCAGACCACCCCCACCCCTGACCTGCTCCCCAGGCACAGGTGTCTGCCCTCCAGCCTGTCATCTGAAGCTGGGTTACAGCCTAGGATTCCTTCCTGTCCCCAGTCAGGTTTTGGAGCCTGTGGCCACTTACCCAGGTCCCCAGGGCTGCGGCTGTCTGAGGCAGGCTTCAAGCTGGACCCAAGATCCAGCTCTTTCATGGGGCTCCAGGCCTGGGTCTCCTGGCCTGAGGGCAGGAAGGGCTGGCAGCCTTGGGGCAGCAGAGAGGGCCTGCGGGCCCCTGGACCCCGGAGTCTGAGGCCCTGACTCAGGTCCTGGCCATTGTTCAGCAAGGGCTAAGAATGCAAGAGAAAGGGGAGGAGGCTGAGCTCCTGGTGGCTGGCCCCTGCCCTCTACCCCAAGGCATTGCTCTTCCCTGGGTACCCCAGCTCCCCTGTGCTCCTGGGGGGACTGCCCCCTTATACCCAAGGACACATAACCTGCTATTCACTACCCATGAGAAACATCAACACAAATAATCCCAAACCATGGATTAAGTCCAAACCACAGAAAACCATGGAAAATCATGGAGAATCACATACCAGGGGTAATATTCTAAATCCACTTTTTTTTTGCCAAAAGTTAAAAACTTTTTTTGTGTTTGGTTGCAATTATCAACCTTGCGCATTCACACAAGTGTGTTGGGGAGCATCACACTGGGGAAGAAGCCAAGCAGGGATTGGGGAGAGATGAGCAGAGCTGGGTTAGAAGCAAGCAGGAGAGAAGAGATCATAATAGGGTCTTTTTCATCTCAAGTATTTACTGGGAAGAGGACTATACCTCCCCATTAGATGGGGGCTCCTTGGGGCAGGGGCTGGGACCCTCCTTCCTGTTTCCTCTGGGCTTGCAGTCCTAGGAATGGTGCAAGGGTGTGGGAGACGAAAGGGACTGGTCTTTCTTAGGTTGGTCTCAGTGGGAACTGGTACCCAGCCAAGGCTGCTCTCCCCATTAGAGACTGGGATTCCCTTCACCCCTGCCTCACCATCACCACCACACTGAGAAACAGAAGCTGCTACAGTTTCCATAGGAACAGATTAGTCTAATATTGAGCCCCATTCACCCAACCACAGGCTGCAGGGAGTGTGTACGTGTGTGTGCATATGCACGCATGTTCATTCATATAAGTGTGTCAGGGAGCATCAGATTGGGGAAGAAGGCAAGCAGGGGTTGGAGAGATGAGCAAAGTTGGGTCAGAAGCAAGCAGGAGAGAAGAGAAGCCCAACTGCCCAGAGCTCGCACCAAGTAGAGCTGCATTTACAGGACACTGACTGTGTGCCGGTGCTGCACTAGGTACTTCATCTTTTAGCTGATGCCCGCAAGAGCCCTCTAACTGCCGTTATCTCCTAGTAACCATCTGCTGATGGCTGTTAGCTCAATCATCTGATAAGCTATTCTCCCCAGTTTCATAGATGAAGAAATTGGGGCTCAGAGAGGTTAAGCAACATGCTAGGGGAGCAGAGTCTGTCTGGCTCCAGGGTCAGTGTCTTCTAACCACATCGAGTGGTCCCGGGCTAAGCACAGAGAAGAGTCTTCAGGGACAAGGTGGGAGTTATCTCCACCCTTGGGGATCATAGAGGACTTACGTGTATGTGAAGGTGGGGAGGGATGTGGTTTATGGGCTAGAGTGGGAGGGTGAAAGGCTGCTTTTATGCAATCATGGACACACAGTGACAAAGCTACTTAAAGCCCATTCTTAAGAAAATGGGATAAGGCATACAGTTCATAGCAAACACCAATTTGATTTAGGACACTATTTCTTAACCTGGTGATTTTGCCTCCCTCCCCCGGGAACATTTGGTAGTGTCTACAATCATTTTTGGTTGTCCTGATTGGGGATGGTAGTGTTACTGGCATCCAGTGGATAGAGGCCAGGGAAGCTGCCCAACATTCCACAACACACAGGAGAACCCCCACAACAAAGAATTACCATGTCAATAGTGTAGGGGCTGAAAAACTCTGGTAAAGCTGGTCATTGGATGACTGGTCCTACTGTGGCTCTAACTTTGAGATGATCTTTGCCCTGGGTGAATGTACACCCCTTGGGATTTGAAGAAGTTGCAGAAGGTGATGGAGTGGGGAAAGCAAGGGTTTTGCAGGCAGAAGTTCCTGGGTTACCATCCCCTGACTGACTGTGTGACCCTGGTTAAGTCACTTAACCTCTCTGATCCTCAATTTCCGCATCTGAACAGAGTCGGGTGGCCAGCCCCTACATTCCCTCTTTCCCAAGAGGCGCTATAAAATCAAATGAGACAAGGGTGCTTCTTGCCAACTGGGAAGTTTTGTGAGCCGAGAATGGGTGATGTCTTTGATAACACTATTAGGAAGGTATCACTGGAGGTCAGGCAGATGAAGGTCCAGAAAAAGAAGGAAGAAGTGACTCACTTCAGTGTAAGTTGTGGTCAAGCTCCATCCTTGTGGTTGAAACAGGAGCCATAGCTCTCTCCCCACCCATGGCCTCCCTCAACTCCAACATGCCCTGCTTGGGTACCTGCAAATCAGTCTGCCACCGTGGAGCATCCAGGCTGGTCTGGTTGGTGAGGTCTTGCAGCTTGGCTTTCCGCAGTGGGTATCTCCTGGCAGCCGTTGTGGGGTCGCTGGCAATGGGGGCCCTTGGGGAGGGCTTGTGGTTGGTGATCTGGTTGGTGCTATATGCTCGCCGTCGCTGGGAGAGGTATAGACCTGGGCAGAAGGGGTGACAGGGGAGCCATCAGGGAGGAAGAATACTGGGGAAAGAAAAAGGGGCTTGTATATCCCTTTCTTTGGAAACTTCTTGAGTTTTTCACTGCTTGCCTGCTGAAATATGTGCAGGTGCCTCACCTCACCTGGAATTCAAAGCCTTGCCTCATCCAGCACTAATTTGTCTACCCAGCTACTTTTTGCTCCCTTTTCAAGGTATTATGTGCTCCAGACATACCAGTTGTGTACGTGTCTTCTGGGTGTCACACCTCCACATCTTTACTCAGGCAGTTTCTGTTGCCTGGACTCTCCTCTCTGTTTCTGCTTCTAAGAACTAGTGCCTCGTTATGTTTGGTTAATATTCTCTGCCAGATATGCCTTTCCCTGGGATCCCCACAGTTTGTTAAACTTCCCTGTGGCCCCTGTCACTCTGCTTTCTATCAGAGTGTGATAAGGCCGATTGTGTCTTTCTCACTAGATGGAGAGCTTCTGAAGGACAGGTGCCATGTTGGAGTCATCCTTGCTTCCTGCACTGCACATACCCTCTGAAACTAATACCATAAACAGGCTTTGGGGGAAGACAGGACTAGACTCTTTCTCTGTACTCTACCTCTTTCAAGTTCCATGAGTTTAGCCAAGTTGATGAAATTCTCCAAGTCTCAGTTTCCTCATCTGTAAATTTGGTATAATAGTACCCGCCTCCACAGCTGCTAACAATTCAATGAAATTGTATAAAGTGCCTAGCACATAGTAAATGTTCAGTAAATGTAGCAATCATAATCTCCCTGGAGAAGGGAGTGAAGCACAAAGAGCAGCAGACTAACCAGGATTGGTGGTAGAGTCTCCGCTGGATGGCTGGGCATCTTTGTCCTGCCTCAGATTGAAGGGTGCCCCCACGCTCTTGGCACAGTCTCCACTATCTGGGCTGGGGCCCTCATCCTGTGAGTGGTAGAAGACAGAGCTGCCAGACTCCTGAGAGTGCAGCATGCTGTATCGTCTTCTCTTGTCCTGGAGGGAGGGATGTAAAAGAGGGCTTGGAGTGAGGCTTGATGTCAGGAAGGATATCCAAAGGGCCGGAAGGGGTGTGTGTGTGGGGGGATGGTGGAGGTCCCACCCTTAAAGAACCAGAATAATAGGAGAGTTTTTTGCTTGTTTGGGCAGTTTAGGCAGACTTCTGTTTAAGGGATGGTGAATGGAAGTGGTTTTTTTCATATTACTTATGTTGTTTATATTTTTAATTACATTCTTTACTAAATTAAAAAATGAAATTCTAAATGCTACTAGTGCTTCCAAATAGGTAGCCAAGATTAACAACATGAATCATCTGTTCCTTTTATTCCATTCTCCATAATATAAACATATAAAAAAAAAGGGGCTTTTTGGGGTCATTTTGTTTTACAAAAACTGGACCATATTACTTACATTTATCAGTAGCTTGAATTTCATGCTTAAAACATTTTGGAAATCTTGCACATCAACTATTCTTTTAAACATTTGGCTGTACGATATTCTATCACCCTTAAGTGTTGTTTAGCATTCACTTTGTGGCCATTTTTTTTTTTTTGCCACCATAAAAAAATGCTACAATAAATCCTTGGACGTAAATCTATTACATCACTTTTATTTCTACGTGTTTGATTCTTAGAAGGCTTTTCTGGGTTGACAAGTTATGTATGTCTAATTTCATTAGTTATTTCTAGATTGCCCTCCAGGAGGGGAAGTCATGTTTACACCCTTTACCCAGCAGCTCTGCTAGTAGCAGGAGAAAGCATTGCCAGTCTCATGGGCAAGGAAAGGAGGATGGATTTGCTAGTCCTTGCTAGTAGTAGCTAGTTGATGATCTGCTATCTCCCAGACCTCCAAGAAGAGCCTAGACTGTGCAGAGACTTGACCAGCATTTTGTTTAGCATTTTCTCCCTGCAGTTGAACACTCTACTCTCCAAAACACATTGGCTATTACTGACCGTGGTTCTTACGAGATTCCATAGCATTCTAAAATCTGGAAATTTCAAATAAAATTCTAACTTCTCTTGAAAGACTGGAAACACATTTAACACAGGGCCTGCATTCCTGCCTGGCCACAATTTGTTAGAGCTGAGTAGGGGCTGACCATTTTAGACAAGGTGTGTGCTATCCAGTTTGCTATATTCCTCACCACTCCTCACTTCCTCTCTACGAACTCAGTGATAACGGCTGTCCCTCATGACATTGGCTATCTCCTTTCATTTTTCACAAGTCCATTTCATTCATTTCATCCCTGTCCAATCCCTCTAGGCATTGAGTTTGTAGCTCCTGCTTAAAAACAAAACCAGATGACAAATCCTTTAAGGGGAAGTGGAAAGACTCACTAAAGAGGGAAGACAGGTGAGGAAATAGCTTCTCAGGTAATCTTCTACATTTTAGCATGAATTCCACCTCCTTCGGAGAAGGTCTTCACTTTTATGCCACTTTTGCCACCACATACAAGAGAATTA